TAAACCTAGTAACACAATCAAACAACCTTGCTTTGCTATGGGACCTTTCCCTTTCTCAACATATCCCAAAATATTTTACCTGTCAATTTGAAATATGGCCACCCTTTTAGTACCAGGTGACAGCCAAATAGTGCACAGCAAGCTCCCATAAACAACAATGCTACAGAGAGCAGAGGCATTAGTTGAGAATAAGTATTGGCCAGGTCACTGAGGAGAAACATAGAAAATAGGAGCAGGAGGAGGCCAGTCAGCTCTTTGAGCCTGCTCTGCCATTCAATAGGATCATGGCTGATCATTCAACTCAGCACCCTGTTCCTACTTTCACCCATACCATTTAATCCCTTTAGCCCTAAGAACTATATCTAACTTTGCATATTAGATGTTACCACACACATGCCCCCACCCCATACTCTCCTCCATGGGATCTCTCACATCCACTTGGAAGGGCAGCCAGGGTCTCTGGGTAATATTTTCACCCAAAGTGGCATCTCAGACAGGACAGCACTCCTTCTCTACTGCACTAGGAGCTGGGTTTGCACTGAAGGATCTGGAGAGGGTACTTGAACCACACCACCTCCACCTCCACTGAAAAAATAAACCTTTAGGCTTAGAGCCACCAATACTATTCGCTGAGCCAAGCATAAAGCTTGAAGCGGAACCCACCAAGCAGACAGGTAACCTCGTCAGGAGACTATTCGTCGTGGTGGTCGTGGAGATCGGAGAGGGGGAGCGAGAAGAGTTGGTGGTTGAAATAACCCTGAGCAGAAAGGTTTGCCAGTAAAATAACGCAACAAGATCACCCCCAAACCCACTAAAAAATGCAATAGCTTAACAGACAATTTGGACTGATGCTGAATCATGTACATTGGAGACTTCCCGGTGGTTTAAGCAGACGAAGACCCCACGAGTGCGTGCCACCCTATAATTCGCCATCTGCTATTCTCCATACAATACGAAAAGCCATTGTATTCCGAAGGCAAGCCATTACAATCCCCGCCTCTTAGACTGCCAATACAGAGAGGAGAAAATGAACCCATGAAAATGAAATGGGGTAAGGGATTAACGTGAAAAAATTATAAGAATGCACTTTGCCATTCACAGTCCTCTTACAAAACAAAGATGCCGCAGACTTTTTTTAAAAGGGAAACGGGAAGAGGTGCCTTAATTTGCTTCATTTGACAACAGCCTCTTAACATTCTAACTGGGAGAAAAAAAACAACACGTTGGCAAATATAATGGAAAGGGTGTATAGGGTCGTATTAGCGAGGAACAGGCAAAATGTCCCAGTTGAAAGCCCTTCCCTTTGGCCGCTGATTTGGGATGAATGGTTTTGGAAATGCCGGGGTTTTTTTTTGTCCAATTCTTTCAGCATGTGTATCCCGTTATACCTCGCCTAACTGAACTATTCGGAGCGGAACGCAACACAGGCGCGTGAATTTCCTTCGCTGGTTTAACAAAAGGCTCGAACAGATATCAGGAATAATTCATCCATTGAACCAGTGGCCAGCGAATGTCAAACCCAGCCAACATTCAGACAGCTTTTTTTCTGACTACACGTGTACTGACAAACACCCAATCTATAAACTGTGCCCTCGCACTCTCAACTCAGACATATATCTCGTTCATTTTTTTAGGAAATCTGCATTATCAATACAGAAACCTTTATAATTTTATGCCTCATAATAATCCCTGGTTGCCGAGGAAGCGAGTCGATATTAGACACAGAACTTTGAAAAGAAAGTTGCACTGGGTCCCGAGATAGAAACTGAACGTCCCTCGGCATTTCATGATATTATTTTGTCCTTCTGAAGGCTTTTTTTTATTCTGCTGTAAACTCAACTATTTTCAAACGCAATAGGAAAACCATGAGGAAAAGACACTCGCACACCACCACTCTCCAACTTGTCTCCTAAATTATTACAAAAAACACACACACAATCCTCACACCTCATCTCTGATTCTTTGTGACAGAGTTGGTGCTAAGGGTATGATAACTGCTCTCCTCCCCTCCAGGGTTTCGTCAAAAGGAGCGAGAGAAGGGGGGAATGTCGGTGACAGGGGGTAAAAGAAACGACCGGAGTCCCGCTTCCGATCCAATTTGGGCTGTGGGCGGATAATCCTCCCCCATCTTGCCCCTCCCGACCCCCTTATTAGCCCTCTTCCCCGAGCCATCTTTTGCACTGTGAATCCCCGCCCAGTCGAATAGCGCGCAGTTAAGCGCCGAAGGGGAATCCCGCGATTGAGAGAATATCTGGCTTAGATAAGAGGCGACTGAGGCATGTCTCCCTCCACTCTGTTAACATAACATCCATGGGTGAATTACAATTGAGTAACCTATGGTACCCCAGTGAAGGGCTACTTGGGCCAAGAGTATGCGAAAGGGGAGCCTGATGCACAAAGTCAGGAAAGTGATCATGAGTGTGGGACTGTGCACTGCATCATTGCAAAACTGCATGTGTTCCCCCATCTCCTGTTTCCTCCAATATCAATAGCGCAGAACATAAGAGTGGACAGTGCACACGTGAAAGTTTATAATCAGACTGTAATCACCCTCACACACCGTCCCCAGCGCAACCTGAAAACGCACAGGCAATGAATTAGTCCATTGTAATATCTGACGGTTCTGGATAGACCCACTAAGTCCAGCACAGAAAGAGTTAAACGGAGCAGCGCTCTCGCAAACCCACATTTACCCTTGTCCAAATATTCCAGAATGAAGAAGCTGGTAGGAATTCGTGTCAGGGGAAAAAAAACTGAATTCACCCCATTCCTCACAAATCACACTTTATAAATAGGCACAGCGACCATTCAAAAGACTCACGCATTATTAATTCATATTTTGTCACAAATACGGAATTAATCACTACCGTCACTTATTAATGAATGAACAAGCATTTAAGTAAGTGGGACACACAATAGGACCCGCATGTACTAGAGTAATGCTTCAGTGACAAAACTCAAAGGTCTGACATATTTGCAAGTGAAAACTGAATTTAAAATAAAACCTGCACGCCTTGTTGAAAAAAGTTCAAGAGAGCGCGATTTTATTTTCAAATGTTAATCTAGCACGATTTAGCGTCACCTCCTCCGTATGAACTCTATAGAGAACACGGAGAGATACACAGGCAGATTTAAAATAACACAGTCTGTGAGGACCCAGGTGTTCACCGCCTCCGCTTTCGCTCCTTAAGGTTTATTTTCCTTCAGAGCACACTTTTTATTAGGACAATGTTTTTTTTAAAGTCAGCTTTCCTTTTGATAAATTGGAAGATAGGGCTTTGAAAATATAAACAGCGCTATTAACGAGCTTCATCTGTGTATTCTCACGACCTTTCCATTGTATCACACACCGCAGAATCTGTTGGATGGGCCGGTATTGCAAACGCAGTTATCATTTGATCGGATTTTCTTTTTTTGGGGGTTGGGGAGGGATGGGTAAATCTTTGTAAACAACAGGCAATCGCAAATTAAATTCAAAATTGCCGAAGATCCCATTACCACTGCGAGGTCCACGCCAAGTTTTGCAATTTTGAATATACGAGTTTGACCAAACGGGCAGATTGAGCGATATTAGTTTCCTTATGCCTTGCTTATGAAAGAGAGGGTCTGTAACTAACTGACAATAATCAAAACGAGTCTCTTAGATGCACAAAAAGCTAAAATTTTGGGGGTTTAAGATTATTTTCACTGCCAAAGTCTCGGCTTGGTACCTACGAGAGAGGAGGCAATATCCATGCAAAAGTAAAACAAAATACTACAGATGCTGAAATTCCGGAGGGCACAGACCTAATGTTTCTCCCTCCAACGATGATTGGCAACTGCTTGTCAGCATCTCCAGTTTTGATATTTTTTCTGCTTCTGGTTTAATTTTGATCTTTCAGTCCTCGGCTATAAAGCTGGGCTGGGCAGCTCTCAACGTACAACAAGCCAGCGCTGGACGGGAAGGTATCCTTTGATGTTCAATGAGGAAGGGTAGTGAGTTCAGCAATTCCAGTTCTACTGGATGCTTCCTACACCGAGTGAACTGCTTGTCACCGTGAAAAGAAAATTAATTCGCCGGCCACCGACAAAACCCCAAGTCCTACTTACATGTGCTAAATAGATGTAGTATAGAGACCCATTCCCATACAATACCCAGCATCAGTATCAGCGCAAGGATTATATAGATATATTTCTAAATACATCACATCACACTTTCAAAGTCAGAGGGTATTTGTTTCACGCAAAACATTTCTGGAATGACTTTCGTCATTTAGAAATCTAGAGCAGGTTTGTTGTCTTATATTTTTTAAATGTTAGTATAACTTTTACATAACTTCCCATAACTGCACAGAAACATTCATCACAATGAGCAGCGACACTGCCAGATAGATTCAGCTCGGAATCGGCCTTTTTTAAAAAGCACACACATACAATTTCTGTTACCTAATATTGTACAGACCAGACCACGCCACAATTGACAGTTACAATACGAAGAATGCACTAAACTCCTGTCAAATTACAAATTGTATCCACTCCTGAAAAGAGTACAGGGGAACAGTACAAACACAGGCCTTACGCCCATTTCAAAATTCAACTGCAAACAAGTTAGCAATAACTCAAGACACATCCGCCTTGTTTTTTGGTTGTCTCCCTCTCTATTCTATAGCACTGACATTGAGGCCACTATTCCAGATTGGAGATGAATTTGTATAAATTTGGGGTAACCGCCATTTTCTGTAATGACAGCCATGTGCCGGAATACAGAGGAATCTGGATTGATGCCGTCAATGTACATTCCGGAGAGAGAGAGAGAGAGAGACGAAAAACACACACACAACCAGGGAAGGAAGGGTGGCGGTGGGGAGGGGAGGGGGTGGAGGCGTGTGGTGCGGATGGGAGAGAGACACACAGATTGGAACAAAAGTAAAACAATCGCATTTTGCATTCAATATCTTCTTTCTTATTTTATAGAAAAGAAAATCATTGTAAATAAATCCAGCGGAGCCAAAGATCATTACCTGAGTCAGGCAGAGCGGGGAGTACATAGTTACTGCGGTGTAGAATGAGTTGTGTTAGAAAGCCGGTTTCAGACTCTGTGCAGGAGTCTATTTTCCATCCTGAACTGTAACCCCGGCCTTGAACTTCTGAAAGCGAAAGTTAACACAACGTTGAAGTCTGAGTGTGTGTGTGTGTGAGAGAGAGAGAGAGAGAAAGAGTGGACGAGAGAAAAAAAATACACGCTGCACTGTGCACGCTGCCGTTTCACAGCCTTTAACAACACAAGCAGCATACAGAAGAAAGCACAATCCACCGCAAAGATTGTTGTCAAAAACTTTCTCAGCTTTTTTTGTGGGGGGAGAGGTGGTCAGTTACACGTGACGTAATGAAACTGACCTGGCAATGTTGACTTGGAGAGAGAGGGAGGGAGAGAGAGAGAGAGAGAGAGAGAGACGGGGGGGGGGGGGAAGGAAGCAAAAATGAGAGGAAAATAAAGCCCCAGCAGTGGCGTTCGATTTGTCAAACTTTGCAAAGATCGCTGGACGATATGAGGCGCTCGGAAACAGACGGCTGCCTTTCCCTCAGAGGCAGTGACACCGCCGCTTGCGTTCCTCTCTGTCTGACGATTCGCTCTCCCTGTAATGGGAGTCATCAGAGCTCCAGTAATCTCCCCTCCCTCTCTCTCCCTTCAATGAAAACACACAAAAAATATTTTATTTATTGAAAAAATTAGGGCAGTAATTTTCTCACTCCCTCAAATCGCAATCCCGTTTCTCTTCAAACATTTGTATTGTCCGTGTGAAGTGAATACTAGCAGAAAGTTGAGTTCGGATGGAAACTTTTCTTTCATTGATCACTCCCAACCCCCCCACCCCGATAAAGAAAACACAACGGAGTTGACGGTGTATACACGGCTCCTTTTTTTTCTGGACAGAGCCCTCTCCCGCTTTCAGACAGAGACAGAGAGAGAAGGGAGGGGAATTTGGCAAGCTTACAGAGATAGTAACGCGCCGCTCCTACAGCCCGCGGAACCCGGGGTTTGTGCTGCTTGCGAGAAGAGAGACAGGGAGGGAGGGAAGGAGGGAGGGAAGGAGGGAGGGAGTCTGCAGTCTGACTGCAATCGCTGTGTTTTGTTCGCCAAAGTTATCACGCCGCTTTATACTTGAAAGAAGGCATTCATATCAACTTTTTTTTCAAATATAAGTATCCAAAATTCTTGCCTTTTAAAAAATACACAGAGAGAAGTGGATACCAGCGATTGCAACTGTACGTAACTTGCGTTAGGGATTTGTAAAATGCTGCCTGAAAAATATTTTTTTTGTGCCTGTGTTGAAAGGGGACAATGGGGATTGGAAGGAAGCTCTCGCTCTCTCTGGTTTCAAATAAGTTACATTTATGGCGCTTGGGAAGGTTTGGGTGCGAGCTGGTCTAGGTCTGAAGTCTATTTGTGTGTGTTGTTGCAGAAATCGCCTGCTACTTCTACCCCTCCCCACTCTTGTACGAGTCACGTCTACTGCTCCTGCCTCTCCTTCCAACCCGAGACGTCAATCAGCTGCCCAGGATCCCTAGTACCCGGTCCCAGGCAGGTTACGGGCAGCATTGCGACAGGAGAAAGAGAGAGAGTGTCTGTGTGTGAGTGAGAGAGAGAGACAACAGAAAGGACAGATCCACTGGCAGCAGTCTCTAATGGTTTCCTCGGATGGGGCAGAACGGGCTTTGCAGATACCCAGCAGTGGGGCAGGACGTGAGCTCACTGCCTTCCTCGACCCTCCTCTCCAACGCTCACACACCCACCCACCCCCACTTGCCATTAAAGGCTGATTAAAATACTTCGTGTACCGCTTTGAGAGGAAGCAAACAAAATCAGTGCTGCGTTTCTCCCATGTTAATATCAGTCCCAACCGCACTGCTGTCCTAGCCTAATGGTGATGTCCCTACCTCCTGGGCTAGGAGGCCCGGGTTCAGGTCCCACCTGCTCCAAAGGTATCGTAAAATATCTCTGATCAGGTTAACTGGAAAATGTCCCAAACGTTTAAGTGTTACCCCTTTCAATCTGAGAACGGGTGGGCAGGGTCCCTAAGATTATGTGTGATTCACAACTTTCGTGTTTTCAGCTGCCCTGAGTCATTGGTATGTGTGTGTGTGTGCTTGGCGAAGGGGGGGGGCGGGGAAATGGCGACAACAGACATTGTGAGACAAGATCACACTGAAGCTCTTGGTGAACGTGTCGCTGCTTTTAGCCGTTTCTGAGACCTGTATGTGTGTGGCCTTGCAGTTCCACATACTCACTGCCATACCATCAACTGTCGAGATTTCGCCTGGTGTGAACCCAAGCTGACTAACAGTCGCAGTCCCTTTGGGGTTAGTCATTTTTTTAAAATATTGAACATCACTCTTTAGCTGCCAGGTACAAATTTAAGCAACCAGTGTTCACTTGTTAAATTCAGCACCAACAAACTCACATACACACAATGAACTGCCGAGGACTGCGCCCTGCTAAATTCCAGGTTTATGGTCAATGCACGTTGAAAGTAAAATCTTCATATTATCTTAGAGTAACAATTAAACTTTACTTTGGAGGAACTAGATACTTTATTTGTCAGTGACCAGTTTTTATTGGTGCCTTTTAGCCCGTTTTTACTGGCGTTTAACTTGCCCCTTGCTGTTTTATGTATGAACACTCTGGTCAAGTGTGTTTTGATCTGTTAATACAGATATCTAGCCATTTAGACAAAAAAGGCTAAAGTGAAATGGGGCAGCTCGGAATGTCCACTAACCTGTTACTAAAAATAGCACAAAGAGCCACTCTTGGGTGCTCTGGTGATCAGCTGATAGTTGGTCAGCTGACCTACAGCCAGGCCTCTGACAGTGCAGTTCTGTAATATGCAGCACACGCAGTGTTCAATCCATCAGGAACCAATATGACTAGTTCCTGGGGAGCATGTTGACAGGGCTCTGGGGATGTGGGGCAGGAGGGCAGAGGCTTTTACAGGTCCTGGGGCGGAGGGAAATGTGTATGGTTCCACAAAATCCCTTGGCATTAAAGATACCTGCCACCTTCAAACTAAACTGGAAACGGAACAAAAACTCACACAATATCACTTTCATTTCTTTGAAGGTCTCCCCGTCTCTGACACTGGCTTCAGTTCCTCCCAGTTGTCTATGGTCCCATACTGGAAACCCTCCCACTTCTTTGCAAAGGTGTAGCCACCCTGGTTTAATCTATTCTGGGGAAAGTTTAGTGTGATGGGGAAGGAGCCACCAGGATGGGAGAAATGGTGTTCATGTCACTGGTCTAGAAATCCAGAGGGCCTGGCTGTGTGATGACAGTGGTTCATATGCTGCTATAGTGGCCGGTGGAATTTGAAATTAATTCACAAAGTCTAGCACTGAAAGTTAGTCATGCAGCAAAAAATGCTGTGCTGCTAAGGGTAGTGCCCCCGTCTCTGAGCCAACAGCACCTGGTTTGAATGTCACTCCAAGACTTATAGCCAAGGGAGATATATAGTAATACAGCCTTATAAAACTGTAAATTCTACCAAGGTGCCTGCTATGGTATATGGAGTTAGGCCACAGATCAGCCATGAACCCATTGAATGGTAGAAGAGGTTTGAGGGGCTGAATGGCCTACTCCTGTTCCTCTGTTCCAATATGCCACACAGTAAGAGAGGGAGAATTTCTGTATCAGCAAGAACCATGTGGGAACTGCAGCATAACAGCTTCCCATGTTAACAGACTCCACGTGGAGGTTCTTGCCACAAACAAATGACATGGGATTATCACCACAAAATCATCATTAATTGAACCAGTTACTAATGGAAATGTGCTTTCCTCACCTGATTCGGGCTATATGTGACTCCTGACAATGTGGTTGACCCTAAATGGCGCAGCAAATCACCCAGTTGTCCCAAACGACTACAGAGAACAGATGGACCTGGCAGGTGGCTCACCTTCTCAAGGGGCAGTTAAGGGTAGGCCATAGTTGCTGGCCTTGCCAGTGATGGCCACATACAATGTAAGAATAATTAAAGGCAAGCTTATACCCAACATCCTCCTCAAAGCCATGTCTAAGATCACAATCTCTGTCCCAGGATTGGGGTATCAGAGGATTGGGTTGCCTAATCAGTTAATTGTGTCATGTGTCTTCTTTGAAGAGTCTCGGAGTCTCTGGTCTTGTGAGACTCAGGCAGTTATTGGGAATCATTGTTGGCACTCTCCTCATTGAAACCGATTTTTTTTTGTCTTTGCTTAATTTTTTCCACATTTATCAAGTTTTGAGATATACAGCTTGATCCAACTTTTCTTGTGGTCAGCAGGGAAAAACAGAGGCCTAATGGCGTTACTGGGCCTGGCTGTTTGGGAGATGGCCTTTGACTACTTTATATACAACCACAAACTCAAGAATCATTCTGTAATAGGCCTCTGTGTTAACTCAGCTGCCTCACACCTTCAGGTTTTGAGACCATTAATGATACCAGCAGCACTTGCTGATTAAGTGAAAGCATTCAGAAATATGTGAAGCAGATGTGTGAACGATGAAATGTTAATTCCTTGTAGTTCACTTTTTGCCTAAGTGTTTAGTCTATTCCAAAGACATGCTCTCTTTTTGATTCCATCTTTTGCTGGCTCTCCATCCCAGAAAGCATCTAATGATTGCCTTGTACCAAAAGCGGGGGGAGGAGGGAAGGGAGTAGGTTAGCTCAATTGGCTGGAATGCAGCATAATACCAACAGTATTGGTTTCATTTCCACACTGGCTGAAGTCACCATTCCAGATTCTTCTTCACAACCTTTCCCCTGCGGCATGGTGACCCTCAGGTTAAATAATTTCTACTTGTCTTTCTCCAATGAGAGAGCAGTCCTATGGTCTAAAAGGACTATGGTGACTTTACCACTGCCATTGCCAACTATAAGGAGTGACCACCTGAAGAGACCTAATTCCATGTGATCCCTTTAAACTCAAGAGAAGCATCCAACCTCTTGCTTAATATCTGTTCATAACAGTGGGATGAGTTTGGGGAGGTTTCAATCTACATCCCTGGTGACACCCATGGGTTCTCCAACAGATGTCTCCCAGTTTTTCAAAGGTGTTTCACTGGTGATGCTTCCTAATTTGGTCGGAAATCACACAATACCAGGTTATAGTC